ATGTTGTGCTAAACTACCAATTGGCTCAAGTACGTACAGATTGTGTATATATTTTTGGTCAATAAAAAAAACAACCAAACACATTTCAGCTGAGAAAGCTGAAAAATGAACATAGATCCACCACATACCCTTTGGAGATATATTAAATTGTAATCCAACATTAAACTGATCCATATATAATTTTTTTTAAGTTAATTTGAAACTTTGGTTCCAAGAAATAAAACCAGATTTTCAATTTGATAAACTATTTTTTAGCCTTCATTTAAGGCTATGGTTAGAAAACACCCTTGCTCTCCACCCTATCCTGACCATCAAAGTAACAGAATCTAACCACCACAAGCAAGTCACTTCCAGGGTTATCAACGGTCTCCGTACCACAACCACTAATATGTTATGGCAAGAAATGTTGGCATTAGTCAGTGTAAGCATAGGGGGGTGGGGGAGGAGAAGAGAGAGAAAGACTCCTAAGAAGTTTTGTCTAATAGTAATTTATCCATATGACTACATGATTTCGCATTTCCATTTGTTAGTATCAAACTAGTTGCTAAATGGGAATCTCAAAACACATGGTATGCCATATGGCTAAAACTGGATATTAAAATTGAGAATATCAATTACCAATCCACTAATGCTGAGAGCCAAAATCCATGGACAGTAAGAATTTAATCCAATTCAAAGCCTGCAACATGAGCCAAGCCCTACCTATGGTCATTTTAGCAGAAAGCAACAAAATACAAATTTCAATCACAAGAATAAACAATTATTAAATGCATCACCTCCTTAATACTTCTATACCCTTAACCTGGAAGTTGCAGGGAATCAACCTAACAAAGAAAGATAATTTATCTTGCTTTGTTAAGGATATATTTCTGGATCTCAGCTTTCTGAAGGGACTTAACTTAAAACCCTTCTTAAAGGAACTACATAAAAAGCACAAATTTCAGCAAAGTTATATATATAGTTTATATCCCTACATTCTGATTTCTTATAGTTACTGGTATCTAATTTCACACTGTGGTTGAGAAATCATAACTCAAAACGTAACTGCTAAGGAAGATCAGTTAGTTGCTTCCTACATGACCTAATTTAAACCTTTAGAACACCAGGAAGTTGTTTTACACACAACAGCCAGCAACATCTTATTTGGTTTGGGGGAAGGGTGTCACACACACACACACACACAATAGATTATATATATATATATATTTGTTGTTAATGAATATATTCCAAAGCAATCACATTTACATGTTAGGTATACAACAACCAAAAGTCAAACTATTCTTCATATTCCACAGTAATTGCTAATTTCCAAGGATATTAATGCACGAACAAGGAAAATAAATTTAAAAACTGGAACAATGAAAACTAAGATTGCTTTACTAAATGTTCACAATTGGATAAGGTTATGCACTCAAATGGTGGGAAACACTGCTAGCTTTTTTTACTTTAAGAAATTGTGAATTCTCATTAGGTTTAACATTCCATCTTCAAGTATTTTCCTCAAAGTGAGGGTATGGCCTCAAAGCTGTTCCAGCTGGATTTACAGTGGCTTCTAAACATGAGGCACCAACAAAGATTTCATGAAAGGATGCTTGCTACACAATGACCTGGCAGCTACAAAGACTAAGCAGGAATAAATACAAGTGATCTTAGTGGCCCAATACAGTAACCTACTTGAAAAAATAAAGTTCTTGTTCTTAACATGAAAAATCTGAAATACTAAAAATACTAGTGAAGCTAGTTTCAATTCAATGGCATAAAAAAATAAATATTCAAAACTGAAACTTAACACTGACAGGTTCTTGAAGAAGTGTCTTTTAAATGATTTATTGAACTAATTATATAGATGTAGTTCATTTCTTCAATATTTATCTTCATTTTGAAAAATGCTAACATTGTGCATTTCCAATACAAAACACAAAAATGGAATACAAAAGCCCAATACAAAAGTAAGCTATAAAACAGATTGGTTATTTAGAGTATAACCAATGGCAAATGATGGATTATAGAAAAATAAATCCATAGAGCAGTACTAAAAACTCCTGATCCATTATCAAGAGTTTAGAGGTCATCTGAACACAAAAGACATATTATAAAGCAGCAAAATATTTGTAGAATAGTGTAATATGTATTTTAAACTTGTTAACAGTCATTTGAAAATGCTTGGGAGTAAATCTATTTTATTAAGTACTAACTAGAGAGTTTATTTTATTGAGGGTGTTTAAATTAGAAATAAGGTTAACACCAGTATAAATAAAAAACATCATCATAAACTACCAATAGGAAAATTATACATTTCGGGAATATACAAGATGACATTTTAAAAAAGTATAATGTAATTTTAAAGTATGACGTATACCATATAAAACACAGAAAAAAGTTTTAATATCCAAATAACCTTTTTCTTCCACCTCTCAATAATGGAAAGAATAATGACCTAAGTATGACAACTATTTCAGGTCAAATGCAGTTTTAAAAGCCTCCACAAATCATCTGAACATTTTCAAGCAGAAGGGAGCTTCTCCTTTGTATCACAAAAATGACTACTTGGGGTCTGATTATTATTATTAGACTGGTAAAACAAGTCTAATTCATACAGACAATTCATTACAAAGCCATTCATACAGGATTTTATATACACATTCTGGATTATGGAAAAAAAATTTAAAGTCTATTTGTGGCTAAAATAGAAAAAAGAAAAACGTTCCTAAATGCCATTATAACGGGCATTAGATGGTAGAACAAAATCACGTTATTGTTTTATCCAGTCACAGCCTATGTGAAAATTTCAATAAAACTATTTACTCCTCCCACTTAGTCTATCCTCCCATATATTTGGGGGAAAACCTACAAAAATTAAAACAGGAAGAAAAACGTTTGTTTTACCAGTCCCCCAAACCCCTACCCACCACAAAAAAATAGGAGAAAGCAAGCAAAAAACAAGAGACATCCAAAATACAAGGAATAAGATCTAGTTTGGCAGAGCTATGATGAGGAGGAGTTGAAAATGAGAGAGCTGCCTTGCTGCAAACGCCATCTTGTTGCAGTTATTGGGCCCAGGCACAGAAGGATCCATTCATTCACAGCAAAAAGAAAATCAAACACACACCCTCGGTAAGCTGCAGCCACCAAAAACAACTGCACTATTATCACCTCGCTCCCCAAAAATTCACTCTTATCTAAAAAGACTGATGCATAGCACTTAAGAAGAGTTTAGATCTCAGTGCAATCTTATTTTTTTCCACATACATTTTACATATAAATCGACAGCACTTTGTCTTGATTCACATCCTTGTGCTCAACAAACAAGCTTCAAAATGTGGAATAAGCCTCCAACGACTAAGTGCAGAAATGATCAAACTGAAAAATGTTGTGTCTCTCATTTCATTTTCAGTTTTAAATCCCTTCCCCCTTAAGTTCAGTCAGTTATCTGTAAGAACAATTTTGCTGGATTTTTTTTTAAAGCTTCCTTTTATTGTAAGATGTTCTTTCCTCTTTGTTTCTAGTGTGTAGACAATACCTAAGAATGTGGCAGTTAACATCATGGAAAGGATGCCTTATTTGAAATGAGTCCCAAGTAGTGACTTGTTCAGAGAATATTGAAAAACCACATTTGTTAAAATTTCAGCTAATCTTCACAAGTGATGAATTGACATCTTGGAATAACCTCTATGTCATCCTGACTCTTTTCTAGACAAGATTTTTTTTTTGAAAAAGTCTTGCCTATTCCCTAATTTCATATTCATTACTTAAAATATACACATGACCGTACATCCTTTTTCATTTTTATATGCAGTTTTAGAATTGAAATTTAAAAAGCTACTTTGAAAACACCTTTAATGGGTAAAAAAATGTACTGAAAACCTTTTCATAACTAAACTGTGAATTTGGGGGGCGGGAGTTTGTTTTTAATATTTTTAACATTTCTTCCATGGAGAAACTCCCTTATTCTGCTGTAGCAAACATCCTCCATGATCTTTGATATTACACTTACAGGCACACAAAAATATGCAGTACCATAACAGATGGAGGAACAACAAATATGCAAGCGAGATAAGTCCCTTAGCTATGTTTTTTAACAAGACTACAGACCATACCCACCCTTCCTCCCACAGCAAAAAACAGGGTGAACCCACACTCCAAGCCTCAGATGTTCCCTTTTCTGGGCTAGGGGCTGCTAAGAGCAGTCTTACCCTGTTTGTCTCACCCTTGTCTCCTCAATTTTCCACCATTACAGCACAGAGACACACCACAGCATTTTCTTGAGCCCCCCCCCCCGCAACACTCCCTCTGTAGGGCTCGGTTTCTTTGCCAACTCACCTTTATACCTTAACGCACACACGCGCGCACACACACACACACAAAGAACAGCACAGTGCCTAGTGTAAATCACTCCAGCCTAATTGCAATTAAAAATGGAACCCTGCAAAACTCCGGGTTCTCTTCCCTTCTTGTCTTAAAAAACCCTTCAAAAGAAAGACTCTCTCCCACTCCTACCCCCACCTCTTCCTCCTCCAGCAGCTACAGAGAGGGGCTGCTAGGGAAGCGGAAGGGGGGTATTTTCAATCTCTCTATGCTAGTAGGCGCTGGACAAGCTGGGGGCACGGGGCGGCTGCTAGGGAAGGGGAGGGAAGGGAGAGGAGTTGATGGGGGGGCAGAGAGCAGGAGAGGAAGAAAAGGGGGTGAAAAGGGCGGGGAGACCCAGGAAGAAGGGTCATGGGGAATCAGGGGAGTGGGGCAGCGGCAGCCAGTGAGGAGGGAGTCTCCGCGGGAAGGGGTCCCCAGGCCCTTACCTGCCCCTCCGGCCGCTGCTCATTAACGGGGCCGCTGTGTCCGCCGCCCGCGGCCCCTGCCCACTCCAGCTGCGTCCCCACCGGGCTGGGGGAGCCACCTGCGCTGCGTCTGGCCGATCCCGGGGAGGCGGCGGCTCGTGGGGGGGGGGGTCCCTGGCTCTCGATTCCTCCTCGCGCGCTTGGTCCCCGCTCAGCTCCCCGCAGCCATCGGGAAGCGGAGCCAGCCTGGGCGCGGTAACCGCCCCGCCCGTGCGGCCCGGCCGGGAAACCCCGGCTGCCGGTCCCGCCCCGCCTCCTGGGCCGGCCCCCGGCCCCGCCCCGCGCCCAGAGCGGCTGAGGAGGGTGAGAAGGGCACTGAGGAGATGGAGCATGAGGCGGCATGGGAGGGAGGGGCAGTAAGAAGGGCAATATTGGGGGAGGCGGGGAGGAAGTGGGGTGAAGCAGCACTAGCGATGAGAGGCAAGTGCGGGAGCCGGGGAGGGAGAGAAGGTGAGCGGCACTGGGGTTCGGGAAGCGGGGGCCACAAAGGGAGTAAGCATGAGGGGCAGGGGGGCTCTCAGAGTTGAGGAAGAAGCGTTATTAGTGGTGTAAAGCTCCTGGTAGTTTTAAGCGCGGGAGCTTTAGCACTACACTAGCCATCCCCAGCACCATCCCAGGATTCATGTCCACCAGACAGAGCCAGCCCATCTCACCCAAAAGCTCTTTAATTAACCTCTCATAAAACAATGGGGGGAGAGGGAGGTAAGGAGGGGATGAGGAGAACGGGGATCAGGCCAAGTGAAGTTTTCTAGTTATGCAATTTATTTCTGTCTTCGGAACCATGAAACGCAGAGTGGTCGGTTTCACTTTCTGGTTCCCAGGCTCCATACTGCAGCGTTTCATTTGTGTATTTGGTCCTGCCTCATCACAGGGACTGGACTTAGCTTCTGGAGGTCTCTCCAGCCTTGCATTTCTATGATTCTATAGGGGAAATGTTTAAATCCAAGGGTAACAGTCTCCCTGTCAGGACAACCTTTCCAGCAGTTTAGGTTTTGTAAAGGGTCACCAACTTTTTAAAAAAAGTTAAATTGTGAGCCTAGCCTAAGCAAAGGTGCCCTTGCAAAGAAAACAATTCCTTTTATTATAAAGTGAACATACTTACCATGAGAATAAATTATCTCCCCAAAAGAAAGTTGGGTTTGAAGAAAGAAAAGGACATGACAATAGTCAGAGAGTTTTTTTATTTTTAAAGATATAAGAAACCTATTCACTTTCAGGATCTTGGAGAAAAAGCTACTAAGCAAGAAGTTGGAAGTAGTTCTCTGTTAGTTTACCACCGGGATTCAGAAACCAAGCAGTGACATAACCTAATATAATCAAACACAGATATCCCTGTAGGGTTTTATTTGGATTGCAGCAATGCCCATAGCCCCAACAGATTGGAACTCAATTGCACAAATCTATAGTAAGAGATAGTCCCTACTCCAATGAGTTTAATCTAAATAAGCAAAAGCAAGGATGGGGAACAAAAGTATTATTCTTATTTTACAGCTGGGGATTAAGGTACAGAGAGATTAAGTGATCTCCTGCATCCCAGTTTAGTGACCTAGCAACAAGACCTGCTTTCCTAATGGCACAAAAGTAAGTATACAGGTACACCAGTCTTTTTCCATTAACAGTCCCACATGCATTTTCCTGTACTTTATTACATTAAGTAAGTCACATGAGAGGATTTCTCTTCTTGCCTAACTAGTTATAATGAAGCCCATAAAGGCCAAACAAACTCTTTAAAATATACCCAGTAAAACCCACAGAAAAAAGGTGGCTTAAAATCCTGTCTGTATGTGTACTGATAAAGCTAAAAAAGAAAAATAAGACCAATTGCTTAATAAACCAAAGAAAATAAGTTGCTCCTTGTAGCTTCAAAAACTTTCCTCTGTAGGTCAGTAATTGTCTCCTTTTCCAGGATTTAAATTGCCAGGTATGTGAGGAAGTGCATGCTAGGAAATGTGTTTAGTTTAAAAAAAAAAAGAAAGAAAGAAAAAGAAAAAAAAGTAACCCCTCCACCCCCTCAGAATTGGGTGGTTATGAGTAGTTACTAAGAGTAAGGATAGTTTTGGTGATTATGATTCAAGAGATTGAGTTACTTGATGTGTGTTAGTATAATGTGAAATAACTTAGGTAACTATGTCTTTGTTTATTTTTGTTTGTATAATAACTATTCAAATGTGTTTTGAAAAATCCTACATCCTGTGTTTGAAGTTCAGGACTCAACCCTCAAACTTACCAATAACAAAACAGGAAATGTTACTTAGGTGTCTAGAGTAGAATACTGAGCATCACAACTCTTGGGTTACATTCCCAGTGCTAATATTGTTCTGTTGTGTAACCTCAGGCAATTTGCTTATGCTCCATTCCTAAAAGCATTTATGGGTGTTTATCTCTATGGACAGGTACAGTCCCACTGAAGTCAATGGAACTACTCATGCATAAAGTTGGGCATGTGCCTAGAGGTCCACATTCCACAAGATTGCAGCCTTGATCTCTCTTATGCTTAGTTTCTACCATCTGTAAACTAGTGATGAGATTTAACTACTTCAGAGGCTTATTGTCTGCTTTACTGGGTGTTGATAAAGTGTTTGAAGTGTAATTATAAACACAACTACTGCAATGTTCCAGTCAAAACAGCCTCTCCTCTGAGTAGTAGGGTTTCTTAAAGGGTATGTTTCATAACTGTTTATAGATATATACATGGGGATTTTTTTAAACATTGAGATTAAAATGTAATTTTGATACCCTAAAATTTGTGTTGAATGAAGGGGAGACCACCCAGTATTAAATATACAAAAAAGAGATGGCATATAGAAGCTAAAAACATGTACTGTTAAGCAGAGTTCAGGCCCAAGTGCTCTTGTGGAATTTCATCAACTTTAATTGCCAAAACAGCTTGCCCATTTCCAGTCTGACTATGTCTAGAAGTGTCTTGGCAGATTTAAAGTCCAAAAAGGTATTTTGTCTTTAAACAAGGCTCTGAGCTTGTTGAGAAATAGAAAACCACCTTTTAGTCTTCTCAGTGGTATTTTTCCCTAGGGTTAAGTCCCATCTCCTTCCCTGTATTGCTAGACTTAAATATATATGGCATGAATCATTTGTTATAACCATATAATAACAAACCAGTGAACATTTCTTTCCCATAATTTCAAGCACCTGTGACACTAGATGACACACATTCCTACTGCTTTGCCCTGCTTTATATGTCTGTTCCATTCTCACATGCTACTCATAAAGGGAAATTTACATAAATCCTGAGATTTTAGAAAAGATGCCTTCAGAATTATAGACTACTCCTCAACGAGGAATCCATTTCATTTTTACCTTTTTGAGTATTGTATGAGAACTATCGACTAAATTCTGTGCTATGTTAGATGTGGGCTATGCAACCTACTTCAGTATATGAGAGGTTTGGAAAGGGAGTTGAACAGATAGAACCTAGTTCTAGTGTCTAATTACAAGTTCTTCCTCCCTAAGTGCATACTCACAATGCAGCTTTGGAGCAGTTCCTGTTAGAAATGTTCCTAGTCTAGTTGCTTAATTATGATTCACCTCCCAACAAAAATTATAAATAATATGAAGTTATACTATTAGCCTGAAAAGAAAAAAGGGAGAACATTGTCCTGTTTATTTGTTTATTTATTTAAGCACTTACTAACTGGACAAGTTAGTTCTATGCATTTTAAAAACTGTCAAAATGGTTTCTCTTTGATGTCTGTACATAGACAATTTGAAAGTTAAGGTGTACACATAATATCCATTTTACAACACAGCAAATGCCTAATTTTTACATAATATATTATATAAAATGAAATGTGCTTAATACTATAACCCAGGACAAAAGTATGCTGTAGTCCCCAAAGAAAAGTGAACATATTATAGGAATCTAGTAAAGTTTAGCTGTCAGATGCCAGCTGAAACAATGGTTGGACTTTTGAAACATATTTGCTAGTGTAGCTATGGCCTGGCTAACTAGGCTTCAGAAGAAACTTCCTCTGTGAGCAGGTTATTCCATAATTCTTCATTATGGAATTTCTTGCACTTTCCTCTGAACCATTTGGTATTAACTGCTGTTAGAGACAGGATACTGAACTAGCTGGACCTTCAGGCTGATCTGGTATGGCAATTTCTATGTTCCTTTGAAAAATGCTTCAAACATGTCTACAAGGCTTCACATGGTTCTAGACTGAGGCTGTTTTTTACTATTACGTTCCCAGAAACCCTATGATCTTGGGAAGCAAGAGTCTTGCAGATTGCACTCTAACATAAGATCAGTGTGTTATGGAGAATTGCACATTGCTAGTAAAGCTGTGAAAAATCATTGTTCACTTGTACAGGAACTATAAGCCTTTTGTGTGGAACACAAAGATGATTGATAAAATGAGAATATTCAACTCAGTGTAGTATCACTATGAAACATTTGCAAGTAGGGAGCAATTGTGCCACACACAATTTTTGTCAGTTGCCAGTTCCAGACTTAGAAGACTCCCCTTTAGACCAAGATAGTATTTGATTTCATACACAGTGAAGAGCTATATTCTAGCTTTTAACGCCCAGGCTTCACTCACACTCTTGCAGTCATGTGATTGCTGCTGACACACAAAAATTGAGGTCCAAGGGTTAAAAATATCTGTGCAGACATTAATGTGTAAACATTAACTTTGGAACCATTGTGTACCAGCAATGCTGTCTCCGCCCTGCCCCCCGAAGGTCTTGCACTGAAAGGTGGAGTTGTCAAGTGGTTAGAGCAGGGAAGTGGGGTAACAATTACTGGGTTGTTTCTTGCTCTGCCACACTTACATATGATCTTGGGCAATCCTTTTCACCTGTCTATGGCTCAATCATCCCATCTGTAAAAGAGTTACAATAATACTTGCCCACAGGGGTGTTGTGAGACTTAGTGTTCATAAAATGCCTTGAGATCCTTGCATGAAAGGTGCTAGAGAAGTGCAAATATTTTCATTCTAGTGCTTATGCTTGGTTAGGATTGGGTTAAAAATAAACGGACTCAGATATGACAGTTTCTTCTTTTGTTTGTTAGATCTTGTTTGGCTTAGCAATATCTTTGATTCAGCAGGTCTCTCATCTTCACCAAAGTTACATAATATTTTAAAAGTTGCAGGGAATTGAAAGTGTTATTTACCTGAAGGTTATTTTATGTTTCAGATTTCCAGGTGCCTAGAATTAATACACTGGGTCTCAACATTAAACAAATAATTTGCAACTTTTTGGAACACGTAATGTTAGTCTACCTATAACTAAACTTCATATCTTCTGTTCCCAGCATGCACTGGGGCTTCTTGTGCAAAATTTGAGAAAACCTCTCTACTTTGATTGTCCTAAAATATGGTCAGGAACATATCTGGGATCATTCTTATTCAGTAGGTTATTACATCTAAGCTTAACCTGCTTCATTTTTACAGAACTAATATACACTGATTATCTACATTCAGAGCAAGTGAGTTTTGGGCCAAAAGCTATATATTGAATGAAGTACCCGAGAGAGAGGTGTGTGTGTGTGTGCATGCGTGCACACATGTGCCTGGGCACAAAATCTACTTTCTTGCCCTTTAACATGTTGCAAATGAAAAAAAGATAAGTAACATTTTTGATAGATAGGTGAAATATTATCTTAAGTCAGTAAGTAGAATTTACAATACTTGCACAAATGATAAAAGCCCTGATCCTGCAATAAGCTTTGTGCTAGACCGATTGCAGAACTTGGGCCTAATTTATTATATCAAATATCTTGCATATTATAATGAACTTAATTCCATTATCATTGCAAACAATTAATAAAGTAACATTTAAAAACCCATTACACATTTTAATCTGGATACCCATTGTTTAATGTTGCAGATGTTATGGATAGCAATTGCTATACAACTTAATGGTAAAATGGAATTATTCTATTTATTCATATGCTTAGAATTTTATTCCTAGGGCTTGACTGTCATAAGGGCTGAGCGCCTGCAGCTCTCACTGACCTTAAAAAGAACCACCAGGAGCATGCAGTTAGTGACAATTTCAGTAGGGGGCTCCAAAACTGGGCATGTGATTCAGTGACAACTGAAGTCAGTTGACTTCCATTGGATCGATTGATTTCAGTGAGCATTGACTAAGGTTTTTTGAGAGAAATAGTGTTATCTCAGATGACAGGTATCTTAAAAATATAATTATATGACAGAAAGATTAGGTGTAAAAGCAATTTGAAAATCATCAAATAGGGCTGTGAAAAAAGAGTATTGTTTAGATAGCAAATTACCAGCTAAAATTCAACCAACTTAGTTTGGGGGATACACTTATTTCCCTATACCAATTATCTTCTCTTTTCTATTGCCAGACATTTAATTAAAAAGAGACATTGTAAAAATTTAATATTTCTAACTTCAGATACCCTTTCAGGGAATAATCTGAAAGTGTGATTTAAGAGTGTTGTGTGATTCTGGAATATGAGATGTTCTCTTGGTTTATTATTTTGGTTGTTTTTAGAAATTGTAGTCCCCTAAAATTACTCAGTTGGAAGTCAAAAAATAGAAGCCTTAGCAATATGTACTTTTCTGCTACTCGTGCATTATTGTTGTACATTAAATGGAGCCATA